TTCTTGCTCACCTCAATCCGTTCTACGTTCTCACCAAGGGTCATCATGGGACTTCGGGACACCCTGTATATACAGAGCGTTTGGTACTCATAAAGAAAAACCGTGATATATACAGGGTGTCCCGCGTAAGACGGACCAAAAGGAAAATATAAGTAGAACACATAAAAGTGAACAAAAATTGTATAAGTCATTTTTCAAACAACCATGTAAAATTTCGAGATATTAATTAAGATAGTTGGACAAAATAGAACGCGCGATGCGACAGGCGGGACATACGGCTCGCAGCGGTCGGCGAAGAAAATGGAAGAACGCACATGTACATGGGCGCACACACGGAGCTACTCATTTCAGTATGTCAAACGGCCCACCTCTCTGGCCTATAAGATAGGCCCGCGAGCAATCATCTATTTTCTTCGCCGGCCGCGGCAAGCCGTATGTCCCGCCTGCCGTGTCGCCGCGCTCTGATATGCTCAACTATTTTAATTAATATCTCGAAATTTTACGTGGTTGTTTGAAAAATGGTCTATATAATTTTTGTTCACTTTAATGTGTTCTACTTATATTTTTCTTTTGGTCCGTCTTATGCGGGACACCCTGTATATTTTGAATGTATATATAGTACGATCCATAGAAGGAGGAGGGCGGGCATATTAGATGGCGGCGGGACGCCGTGCGTTCAAGATCTGCGTATCTTTTCGTTCCAGAAAGAGAAAAATATCGAGAGCGCGGTTTTGTTAGGCCGGGACTCGAACCCGGCTTTTTCGCTTGCCGGGCGACTGCTCTAAACCACTGAGCTACCTGACACTCCATGCTCATGATACTCTCCCTTCCCTAGATAATGCTCAGAGATGCCGTTCGGAAGCGACATCTCTGGCGCGAACCCGAGCGCACGGCGACTACAGAGAGAAACAATAGTGGTATATATAGGTACAGTCTAGACCTAGATAGATGTCTTAGGTAGATCAGGTTAAACTGAACAAAATATTCCTCTATTATTTTGCGAATAACATTTAAAATTCTAAGTCATTAATCAAAGAAGATTTGTGAACGATAACGTGTCATATGATAGTTGAACTGTGATAGCGATGCCGTTATTATATGCTTGTATATTAGGTCAAATTGAACAAAAAAGCTCCCCTACAATTTTCCAAATGACCACGTAGATGTTTGATTATTAATTAAAGAACCCAGATAGCACAGAGATGAATAGAAGTTCCTAGAGAATTAATTTTAAAGAATAGAAGTAGAACTAGAAAAATGAATATCCGAAGAATTCTTGAAGAATTAACCACAATAAGTTCGTCTTGAAATATTCCTTAGGACTTCATTATAGCGAATACTTCACGACTTAATTCCTAGAACACTTTGAGAATTTATGAGGAATTACAGCTAAGGCAGAGAACGAGGCGTAAGCGTCATAATCGTAGACGTAAAATAAAACAGAGAAAAACATAAACGTAAGGCTAATAGCCTTTCATGATTTACGTTTACGTTGTTCTCTACTTTATTTTACGTCTACGACTACGACGCTTACATCTCGTTCTCTGTCTTAGCCTTTACAAATATTTTGTTTATAACAACTACTTTTTTGCGCCTATATTCAGTACATGCTAGTGAATGTATAATAATTTATTTACATATTTATATATAAATTGTTTAATTTATTGTTATTCACAGTTATTTATATTTTGTGGAATTAATTATATAGTTTTATATAATTAATAATATAAGGGTTTTATATAAGGGTAAAGAAAGGGAATTGGTGTTAAAATAGTTTTTCATATATAAAATGTTCACTAGTATCAATAATAAATAGATTTATGCGAAGTATATTTTATCCTTAAGTTTGTATTTACGTTTCTAAAATTCATATACCGTTCTCACAAACTCAATCGCATTATTTGAAAGCCATTTAAGGTAAATCCTAGTGATTGAATATTATCGTGTACCGATAATTGAATTATTAATAATATATTTGTGTTTGTTAAGGTGCTTATCAATGAAACAAAATCACAAAGTAACTAAATATTTTTTTTCATTTATTATATTGTTTTGTATATTGAAAAGCATTTTAATAAAGAAAATACAAAACTAATCATTATATTAATCATTGGAACATATATGTTCGATCACTGAAACATTTACCTTATTCTTGGATTTTGAATTACATATTTGAAAATGCGCTTTACTTACATTTGAAGCAGTTAGAACAGTATGTATGACATCAAATAGACGTTGAAATCGTCAAACCGTTAACCGACGTCAATTTGATATCATTTTGATGTCAATCAACGAATCATTTTTCACTAGGTATATAGATTTCACAAACATGAAATCTTAAATAGCTCAGTGGAAACAGCGGTTGTCTGGCAAGCGGAAGATCCGAGTTCGATCCCAGCCGAGTCCTGATGTTTTTCATCTCATATTAAAAGTGGCATTAAAAATAGATATCTACTGATACACACAAGTACCCCTGGCCAAAATTTCTGATCTTTCTTTCGTGCGGATGCAATAAAATTTATTAAATCCGAAGAAATCTTTTTGAGTTGAAGTAATTCTATATGAATACTCTAAGAAGTACTGAGGAACTTCAATCATGGTTCATGTAACTTCCTAAATCATTCTTATAATATTCCTCCACGAATTCCTAAGGAAGTACAATTCAGGAAAGGAGAAAACTTTACGAACACTTAAAGAATTCATCGTGCTATCTGAGAATATTGGTGTGCAGTTGTACACTATAATGCACCAATTATCTTTAATTAATAACTAAACATCTATGTGGCCATTTAAAAAATGATAGAAGACGTTTTTGTTCAATTTGACCTAATATGTAAGCATACAGCGGTAAACGTCGTCATCACAACTCATCTACCATATAGTATGTGATCATGAATCTTCTTTGATTAATAATTCAAAATTTGATGTAGTTTTTCGCAAAGTGGTAAAGGAATTTTTTGTTCTATTTGACTTAATCTACCTTACACCGCGGTTCCTCCATGAGTTACCGGAGTGAATTACCTTTTACACGCACGCACGCACGCAAGCACGCACGCACGCACGCACGCACGCACGCATTTTTGTTCCGTTCTTTTGTTCATTGTTTTTTGAAGATTAAAATATATATGTGTGATTGAAATAAATTTAATTTTTCCACTTATATGTTTGTTTTTTATTAAAGTCATAAAATTCCTATTTTGTACCCTGTAGTATTAAAACGAAGCGTCATAGAGAAAAACATTATTAACAAAATATGTTTGTTTTTATGTCCTCTATTTCCCCTCAAAGTTTGTCGGTCTAATTGTTTTACACCCTGTATATATACAAGGTGGGCCATTTTATTCAATACATGCAAAAATCTCAAAAAGAAGAAATTTTTTCAAAAAATCTTTCAGACAAAAGTTATATGGATCCATGGGGGACATAAGAAGGTATCATTGGTTTGACCTTACGTGGCACCGCCAAGGTTACGTCGAGGTTAACTTTGCTTTTTTAAATAGAAACATGTTTTTTTTTATTACGGAATTTTATTCTACGTGAAGAAGCAAACAACTTTTGCTTGAAAATATTTTTTATTCGACTTTTATTTTTTAAGATATTTACGAAAATATCTACAAAATTATTGGTTTCAATAATTTTTTACTCAAATTCTATTAACTTTATCAAAAAATAGCTAGAGATAAAAATTGTCTATTTTCTTCTCGTAGAGCTCTGAAAATTTTTTCAGAATTTTTAATTAACTTTCTAGTACTTCAAGAAAATGGAAGGAAATGCAGTAATAAAAAGTTAATCAAAAATTCCGAAAAAAATCTGAGAGCTCTATGAGAAGAAAATAGACAATTTTTATGTCTTGCTATTTTTCGGTAAAGTTAATAGAATTCGAGTTATTGTATGAGTATTGAATTCGAGTTATATGTTGAGTATTGAAACCAATAATTTTGTAGATATTTCTGTAAATATCTTAGAAAATAAAAGTCGAATAAAAGATATTTTCAAACAAAAGTTGTTTGCTTCTTTACGTAAAATAAAATTCCGTAATAAATAATATGTTTCTATTTAAAAAAACAAAATTGACCTCGACCTGACCTTGGCGGGGCACGCGAAGCCAAACCAATGATACTTTCTTATGTCCCCCATGGATCCATATAACTTTTGTCTGAAACATTTTTTTTTTAATTTCGCCTTTTTGAGATTTTTGCGTGTATTGAATAAAATGGCCTGTATATATGTACAGGGTGCGGCAAAAGTATCGGACCGGTAAAATATCTCGAAAAATATAAGTTTTACAGAAAATTGCTTTAGATAAAAGCTATAAGTCTTAGGAAAATCTATTTACTGATTTTAACAGTTTGACCTTGGGTGACATTCGAGGTCAGGTCGAGGTCAACATTGCTTTTTTAAATAGAAATATATATTTTTTATTACGGAATTTTATTCTACGTAAAGAAACACATAATTTTTGTTTAAAAACATTTTTTATATAACCTCTATTTTCT